GAAGGGAATTCAGAGCTCCGTTTTGATCTTCTCCCTCCTGGCCTTTCGGGCTTTGTTTCAAGCAAACTGCAGTTAGCGGCGTTTAGTCTAAACCTGCCTGGTCATTAGGAGAGACTTGGTTTCTCGAGGAAGAAACAGGTTTCTTGGGAACTTTGCAACGCAAGTGAGGTGTCACTCTTGCTGAAATGCTGTAAATGTCAGGTTCGGGCTGAAGTTTTCAGTGACAGGGCACAGCTGATGGTTTGGGAGCTGAGTGGGAGAGAGGTGGGTGTAGCTCACTAATTCTACAGGTCCCTATTTTTTTTTTCTTAAGTATTAAACTTGGCTTTGCCGAGGTAATCAGTTTGAATTATTCTTAAGACCATATGGGGTATGAAGAAATCTAAGCTGGGCCTTAAGAGTTTGTATGGCTTGTTACATATGCGCAATAACACAGTTCATGGTCAGGAGGTAGTTCTGAAAGATGTATCTGAAATGAATGATGTCATCCCTAACAGCCTGATGTTATTTTTAAGCTTCTGTTTCTGCAGAATGTGTTGAAAATTCATGAATTACAGCTCTTTGTTTCCTAGTTTTCAGCTTTGACATCTCCAGGGGTTCTAATAGTAGGGTTAAGGAATAAAATAACACAGGCTCCTGTAGCAAAGTAGATAATGACCAATAATGTACTCTGTAAAGATACACTGCTTTTCATTTTGTACATATGTCTAAGGAAGTTAGCGAGCAGTACGTCTTATAACAGGATGGCTCCCACTGTGGCTTTCTTACTGGACTTTCTGGTGTTGTAATGATTTTAAATTCAATTTTTTTATGCTTTTTATTTGCCTTCACATAGAAAAACTGATCTTATTCTGTGAAATTTACATTAGTCCAATCTGTAGCATTTTCTGCTTTAAAGTGTTCTGTTTTGGTGTGGTTTGTATTTTTTTTACCCCTTTGTTTCATCTGGAATTACTGCTGTAGTACACTTGTGAAATATTTATTCTTTGTTGCTTGAGCTCTTCACTACTGGAGGTTCACACATGTGCCTTTATCAAACCATTCTCTTTGAATTTGTTCAAAATAGTTTATGAAAACTGAGAGTTGTTTTGTTATTTACAGTGTAGAGTGTTGACTGTGACTGTCTTAACTAAGTGCAGGTTTTTGAGTTGGAGGTGCAGTGAAGTTCTTTGAAGCAGGAACCATCTTCTTGTTTACTCTGTTTGCAGCATATCTGGTCCTGTTGGTTCCTTAGCCACGAGTAAGGCTTCTAGGCAGACAAATAATTAATACCTGATGAGTTTCTAATATGATTCAACTATCTTGTTGCTTTTGTCTTCTCATTATACAGTAGCATCTTGATTAGGAGATCCATAAATGCTTTGGGTTTGAACCCTTTGTGCTGTAAGAATTGAATGTAATCTCCTTTACCAGTGTAAGTGCTTGGTAAGGTTGCATCAGTTTTGGGAGCTGTTTCATTTTTTTCCTTTATTTGGGCTTCTTTCTTCACCTGTATTGCATGACATCTGATAAATGAATATTAAAGCATGCAGATGTGTGTTAGCAGGATTTATTCTCTCCTCCCCTTTCCCTCAGAATGCTCTCTCAGGCATAGTGTGGTAACTGTTCATGCTGATAGGAATAACTCCTGTGGAGTCAGAGTATAAGCTGCTAGGACTGATGTAGTGTGGTAGCATGGGATTTCAATGGTATTTTGATGGGGAAACAGTTTTGTGGTGTTGGCTTAGTAAATCAGTATGAAATTTCATGTAACAAGATTATTTGGACACCTAAATGACAAAAAAAATCACTTGTTGAGTGCCCTTCAGATTTCCGTTGCCTAAATTCTGGTATGACTTCATTTGTTATAATATGCTCAGTGATATTTTGGCAGCTGACATAGACGAAAACAGAAGAAAGCTGTTTAAAAACTATTTGTTTTATGATAGGAATTGTTGTGATTTTTGTAGTGGGTGTGGAAGTTTACTTCTGTCTACACCAGAATGAAACTGTTCCCATTAAAAAGCATATGGGTTTCAGCAGTTAAGTGGAGGTTATTTTCCTACTAAAGAAAAAATTTGGCATATGACCTACAAGCCTCTTTCTGCTTAAGCAAAATATGGTAGAAAACTAAAGAGAAGCAACTTCTCTCAAAGGTACTGCTGTGCTTTGATTTTTCTCAGTGTTACACTTTTGTCTTACCCTGTGATTAAGACGTTTGGTTCCTTTAGTACAGTTGAGAAATCAGGTGAAGTTGAGAAATCCGTGACCTGTGTTTTTGTTTTAGTATTGCTTAAAGACAGCCTGTTCTGCTTGTCTCTGCTATTCCTGACTGTTCAACAGGTGGCTTGATAATATGGTTGCCATAGAAGTAGATCTGGATCAATGTTTTGTGCTCTTTATCCTGTCCACTTTCCTTTTGTGTTTCTTACCCATGGCAGAGTTTTCAACTGAGGCAAACTGGAAAACGTCAGTTTTCCTGTTCTGTACATTTTGCCTGCTGCTTTCTCTTGAACCTTGAAAGTTTGGGTTTTGTGGCAGTTTTGAATGGTCTTATTTTAGAGTGTTCTCTGGTGAATTTAAATGTTATTGATATGATTCCATGAAAATCTTCTTTTTGGTCACAAATATATTTGTCATTGACTAGTTCGTGGAGATCAGAAAACTGATTTACATAAATAGTTTGGATTAATCCTTTTAGAACATTGTCTACAAAGCATTAAAATATAACCATTTCATGTGAATAGGTTTAGAAGGTTGTTTAGAAGTTGTTGTACTGTTAAATGCTGTAAAGTAAAAGAACAAGATCATGTTGGTAGCTTTTTTTTAATCTTTGGACAAGCTCTTGTAACTGTAAATACTAAGTTTTATTTTCCTCCCTTTTTTTTCCTAGAATATTCTGGCTTTGAGTTTAAACATGCCAACTTGTCATGTTGTACCACTTGTTTGTTTTCTATATATAGATAAAACAGTTAAATATTTAACTTTGTTATGTTCTGATCATGGTACTTTTTCTGCGAAAGGGAAGGGAATTATGCATGATTCCTTTATGAGCTGAGGGAAAAGGGAAAGACTCACTTGATAGTGTATTTACTTTAAGTGGTGTGTTGAAATGACTATGTTAAATGTAAATAGGGAGGATGAAATTTTGTGCTTTGTTAAATGGCCTGCTGCTGGTGTTTCCAGTCCAACTGCATATTTACCATTCCCAGAGTATCTGCCACTTAGAAGCAACTAATTATAGAAACAATGACTTCCATATTTGTAAAGTTTATCTTAAAATAGATGAACTGTGACTTGCCTTACTACTTACATGGCTTTTAAATTATGAAATCCAAAATTCGAAAGCAGGATTGTTTTTCTGGAAAAAAAAAAAAGGTTGAGCGTGTTTTTATTTTATGTTTGTGATGAGACTTCTTGTTTCCAGACTTTGAGACAGTGAACCAGCTGATTTTATTACAGCCCTCTGAGATGTGGCATCTGTGTCTCTTTTCTCACCCTGTAAATGGTAAGATTGATATCTAAGTGTTCTCCAAGACAGCAAGATGACAGAGATTCTATTTAATGCAAAATGTCATTAAGCTACAATGAACAACAACTTTTCTAAGATTAAACGTACAGTGCTATAACTACAGGACAAAGTTTACCAGTCTGTTCCTGCTTGTGTCATCCTCTGTCTTTGCAGCTGTTGAGGACTACAGTAGCTTTTATATAGGAAACAAAGGAGCTCTTCAGTATATATGCTGTCTTGAAAGACTTGTAATTGTTGGACTGAAATATGTAATGAGCTACTGCAAAACGTTTTGTAAATTGAAACTAGGGATATCTACAAAAGAGACTTCTGTCTAAATCTTGGTTTCTTTTGAAGGGGTGTGTTTCCATTAATAGGCAGCTGATTGAAAATCTGATGTTTCAGCATGACTTAAATTTGTATTTAGAATTGGGTTGCTTATCAAAGGTCAATTTCAATAAGGTTTTGTTTAGCTTTGTGATATGAAAGGTTGAATAAACATGAAAGAGTTGCACTCCAAAATAAAATCAAGTTTGGTCTTGCAGTATTTTCAGTGTTTGCTTTTAGAGTGCCTGATCAAAATTGCATGTTACTTTATATTAAGGTCTGACCTTGCATTTACTGATGCCAGTGGCAAAGTGCTAATTTTTTTGGAGGGTACAGGCTGAAATAAATCTCAGTACTGTGGGAGCAATTAGAGTTTATCTTGTATCACAGGTGCTCTATTGTGAGGATTAGGGAAAGTGAGGAGCCTTCCCCCAAATCCTTTAGTGTGTGACAAATCTTTCTTGTCTGTGTGGTTACAAATCAGTGGCCTGATCAGTCAGTCCAACTGGTGCTGTTTGTGTCACTTGTCGCTCCATTTGTCCTGTGTGGGTGAAATCTTTGAGGAGTTGTGTTCATATATATTTATATGCACTTTGTTTTATGCACTTTTTGTTTCCTTCTGAAACAAGAAAGCGTCTCGTCTGTTATTCTGGAGTTTGCGTCATTTGTCATTGGTTGCAGTCTTAGGTCTGTCAGCATGGTATTTAAAAGTCAAAGCCACCACCAACACGCTGTTTATTTGGCATTATTGTTTCTGTATCTCCCCAAAGGAGCACAGAGACAACCTATTAAAAGACATAGGAAGTTTCAGTAGGAGACATCTTTTGCTTGTCCAGTGAAATGACAAATTAGCAGCACTTTTACTTACTACTAAATGGATTTCTTTGATTTTTTTTTTTTTTTGGTTGTTTGTTTGTTTTTTCACTTTTCTTCTTGCACTGTGAAGGGAATGTTATTTCTGTTGGTCTCAAAACTCAGTGGGTGCCAGGAGGGCTAAAATGCATCTTATCAAAAATAGAGGAGTTACTTTGCTGTCTGTCTTTACCAACCCTTCCTCCCAACTGAGAAATCCATAGTCCTAAAAAAATCTGCTTAGATAACTTTGGGCAAATCACTTAGCGTTGCTCTTTTGTTTCCCTCACTTTTCCACTGAAACCAGTGGCCATCTGTGAAATGTGCTGAAGTGTCTGGACTATCACCCTGCAGAGTTAATTCTGTTTGGTTTGGGTTGGTTAGCAGGCTGAGCTGACTTAGTACATTTGTTTCCCCTTTTTGCTTTAAGTTTCATTAAGTTTACTACTCTCCTCTGAAGACACATCCTATGTAAAACATTACTGTTGGAGTATTTTTGAAAGACTGGTAAAGTATTATAAGGAAGCAATAGGGTGAAGTTAATTTGGTTTAGTTGGTAATACACTTGAGCTGTCTGTTTTCTACTCCAAAGTGGAAATGGGGTCTTGGTGCCTAATGAAGTTATGCTGAGAATTGCAGGTATTATGTTTGCAGTATGAGTTTGAGACACGTGTTCTAAGGTTTTTAAGTTTTCAGTTGCTGTTTCAGTTGCTACAGAAGAAAATGCAAAATCTAAACCAGAGGTTTACCCTAAATTCTTTTCTTTGCTGAAACAAGTTTCTTGAAAGGATTAGAAAAAACCAGCCTCCATGAACCAAGCAAACCTGTGGGTGCAGACTACATTGCACAAAAAAACAGCCTCTAAGGTATGAGGCACATAAAACATTGTGAAATGCAGTTTTCATTCCTTTAAATAACAGACACTCTCCAAGTTCTGTAAGTGAAAAAAGAAATTAACTTTCAAATGCACCCCATATGCGTTTATGATTACAGGTTATGCATCTTTATTTTATCATTATTGGTAAGCTAAACTTGTTATGAGCTGTGTTTAGAAAAGGGTAATTAAATACATCACCCAATTGCTCTGTCATAGCAGTAGTAATCATTGCCTCTATGAAAGACTGGGCAAGAGGAAAGGAAGCATTAAAGTTGTCTTTCTAGTTTGGGCATCTCTGAGTTGTTTGAACCTAACAAAATCAAGCAGAATAATTTAAATTATTTTCCTAAACTTGTCAAATTACATGATAAGAGTGTTTTGTGTTGTGGGGTTTTGTAATAAATTTAGAAAACAAATAAAAAACCCCCTGACAATCACTGTTTTCACTGGAAAGATTTAAATAAATCAAATTTTATCCAATCCACCTTGGATGTAAAAGTAAGGTAGGGATTATCCTCAGAAATTGTCAAGAAATTCTTGGCGGCCTTGCAGATGGGATTCATCTCCTGCTCAAAGCTCCTGCTTTGATCAGTTATACCTTGTTTTTTTTTAATACTTGATGTGAAAGACAGTTCTCTCATAATTCTAATAATGAGTGATGATGGAGTGCAATATCACAAAAATCATTGTCATGAGGCTATTTTGCAAGAGACCTGTCAATAGAGAATGATTTTATCATTTCCATATCAATCTCCCAAAATAATATAGGGAAAGAGCAGACAACCAGACAGGAAGGATCTTTAAAACAGGGAGTTTTGTCCCAACCTGAATTACAAATAGAATGTTGGAACTATTTTCTGAGCCAGTACTAGAGTTTATTTTTAGTATCTTGGCTACAATTCACTTGACATGTTGCAGGCAGATAGTGACCAGCAGATTAGGAATAGTTGGGAAGTTTTCAGTGTTTATAAAGCACTCATCCTAGTTCTACTCTTGAATGTTCTGTGGAGGAGATGGCCTTGGTGTGTTCCTTTGATGTTTATGCCATCTCGTTTTGTAGGCCAGCCCAGAGCTTAGTCTGTTCTCAAGCAAATGTTTTTGCCCGAAATAGCACGGAAAAAAGATCTTCGATTTCGGGGAGGGGTTTCAGCACTGATATTTCTGCTACTTATTCTGCGATCACTGTAGATAAGCCCCTTTTTTTTTTTTTTAATCGAAAGCCTTTCCCCTCGCGCTGTGCTGAGGAGGGTGCCGGGGAGGTTCGCGGAGGGGTGGGCGGGTCACGCGGCAGCTGCGGGATGTGCCCGAGGCCGGGGAGGAAGCTCTGGATGGAGCCGCGGCTTGTTCGTGTTGCACAAATTCGGGGCTGCTGCTGCAGCTGCCCCACAGCTTTTCCTCTCAGTGCAACTCCAGGAGTTGGAAAAGAGTTACTGTAGAAGAAAGGAATGTTTGCCTACTACCTAATGATAAAGAAATGTATTAAGGTGATTTTTTTCTTCTCTAATGCAGACCTTGCTGTGCAGCAAGTAGTGATGCTTCTGTATTTGTGCTTATAGAATCCTAGAAAGGTTTGGGCTGGGAGGGACCTTAAAGATCATCTAGTTCCAGACCCCTGCCATGGTCAGGGACACCTTCCAATACACCAGGTTGCTCAAAGCCTTACCCAGCCTGGTCTTGAACACTTCCAGGGATGGGGCATCCTTCCATGCATTATATTCCATATGTATCTCCATTTTATAACCATAAGCACTTTCAGAACAGTCATTAATAAATACCTTTCTGACAAGAGCCATATTTCTTGTCACTTTCAAAGACATGTTATTTTCTCCTGGCACTCTTAATTCCACTTTTATCTTTTTTTTTTGTTTTGTTTTTTGTTTAGGTGTTTGGTTTTCTCTTGATTGCTGCTGGAACTTCACATCTGTTAACTACGATTTTATCTTTAGATGACTGTTGTTACTAAATAAACATATCAAAGTAAAGACTCATTTTGTTGGAAGGGATGTTTCTGCCTTCCCAGCACACTTCAGAAAGTCCAAAGACACGTAACCTTCTCAAGAAAGGGTTAAAAGTAGTCATGGACTCTACACTTGATAAGTGTTGTGGGTTTCCCCCATTTTGTGTAATTTTTTTTCAATTCTCAGTTTGGTTATAAACAAGCTTTGGTCTTGGTCACTGTGGCTTGCAGAATGTTATCCAAGTTGTTAAGGATGTGACTGATCTCAAGACTTGAGGACATCCTGCAGACAGTGGTCTCCTATCCTAAACAATATTTCACTTAGAAAGTTTTCTCCTGTGTTCATAAAGCTCACCTTAGTGAGGTGCACAGTATTTGGAAGGAGTGAATGATGTTTAAATAGAAATTATTTGGTGAACTGCTGTTTACAGGAAATGGCTAATGGTGAAAATTGAGCTAAGACTGCATAAAATCTCAAGAAAGAAGTATGAATTAGTAAATTTGGTGATGGAAGGGTAAAGATAATAAGAGGCAGACAATGTCTGTAATAGCACCTTTTGTAGGAAAAGTTTGATTTCACTTGTACAGGTCATCCAAAAAGCTGTTATAGAATGACTGTGTCATAATTACTTAGTTTGAACGTCATATTTGGAGTTTAAAAGAATGAATTGAGCAAAATTTTTGAATTAGCATTTGAAATTGTCAGGGAATTCTAATATTACTATCATAAGTAATATGTTTTGAAAATTATTTCCTAATATAAAAATAGAATGCATCAGTCACTGGTGGTTATGATGATTTAATAGTGCATATAATACTTATATGAAAATTAGGGAGCTTTTACTGTCTCAACAATGTTTTTTCCTCTCCCCTTTGTAGGAGATGACAGCAAAGTACTTAAATATCAGCTGATTTTCAACTCATTTGTTGAATTACAGTGTAACTCATGGGTTTGGTAATTTACTTGATGATGATTCTACCTCTTGCTCAGTAATTAAATTTCTTGTATGTAAGTGTGTCAGACTAACTAAACAAAAATCCAGTACTTTGCATGAGTGGGTCTTGACCTCACTTTTTCTAGTTCAGTCTGATCCATTAAAGTACTTACTCATCAAGTAAAAGTAGCTTTTCTTACTCACTGGGACAACTGTGTTTTCAAAACCTTTTTGGACTTGCCCCTCCCACCTATTCCACCCATATGGGATTTTATTTCAGAAGAATAAGTTTTGGGGACTTAGAGATCCTGATATTGGATGTAGGGCTGTCTCTGGATTGTGGATGTGACACAGAACAAGGATATGGACTGAGAAGTATGTGGTAGGTGTGGGAATACTTGCCATGATATTTTCAGAGCTCCCATTTAACTGCTTCTGTTCATGTGGATGTTCTCGGGTAGTAGCAAGAATGTTCTCATCACGTTGAACCTTCAGGCTCTCCTTTTTGTAAAATAAGAGCATGTACTCATTCAGGTTACATGTTACTTCTGGAATTCTTCCTTAGTTAGATAGAAGGAAAATTGTCTGGAGTCCTTATCTGCTTTAGAAAATCTTCTTTGGATTTGGTAGTCCATGAGGTAGTAAAGTCAGGCAAATAGAATTAAGCTGAAATCTTTGTTTAAAAAAAATTATTTTCACCTGAATGTAACTTTTATAGTGGAATATAGAATTTAAGGGTGCTTTGGATCTGCAGTTGTCTTATTGGATGGAGTAGTTTTTGTTGTTTAGATATAAGATGCAGCTACACAAAACCAAAAGCATGGACAAAACCACCTTAAACTGAGGGTACCTTCAGGATTGGGGGAGATACTCTTCTTTGAAAGCATAGTTTTTAAAACTTATTTCTAAGCAGTCTTTAAAGCCTTCTTCATGGCAAACTTTAATCATGATCTTAAAACTTCAAAGTGTGTTAAAATTATGCAGATGGAATGTAGGGGGGTTCTTCTGTGATACACCATCTAATTTAGCAGTCAACCTATGGTTTAGTGCTGAAAAGTTTTTTTTATAATTGCCTCAGAACACGGTCAACTTTGTGGAGCAGGCCAGGCATTACTACATCTTCCATATGGTGGTTTCACTTCTGAAAGCCTACACAACTGTGCTCCACATACAGTGCTAATTTGATTTCTTTCTGTGCTCAGACTGGTATATCCTCTGCAAGATCTGAACTTCAGTCCCTTTTAAATTAATTAGTGTTTGTATTGCACTTGTAAAGGTTAACACAAATGCTAAATGTTGGTGATCTGTATTACACCCTGCATTGATTGGGAGCATGCAAGAAGCACTTGCCAACTGTTTTCCACCTCCTGTAGCCTTGTCATCCCTTTGCCTGCTGGTTGTGGTACTGAGTGTACAACTTCATGAATCTAAATTTTCACAAGCAATTTATGATTGTATTTAATGAAGGCATTGTTTCTGTTCTCTTAAGAATGTCAAGCTGTCAGCTGAAGTAGAACCATTTATTCCTCAGAAGAAGGGTCCAGAAACACTAATGATCCCGATGGCGCTTCCTAACGACAGTGGAGGAATTAATGGCATGGAACCAACTCCAATCCCCAGCTACCTGATCACTTGCTATCCATTTGTACAGGAAAATCAATCCAACAGGTAATAGTGGTTGTGGTCTTCATGGAAGATGATCTATTTTTAAGTGAGTTTAAACTTTTGGTAGGCTTGAGAGGAGTCAGTGAGTGTGGACTGTATATTAGCTTTTTTTGGTTTACAGTGTTTCATTTTCTGACCCTTCATGGGTGAGGATGAAATTCCTGTCTCCAGTCTTTTACTTATTTTCTTCCCTCTGCTTTTTTTTTTCTCTATTTATATTCTTTGCTGCCCTTTTTTCCTGGCTACAGAGGTCTGATGCAAATCCCTCCCAAAGGCACGTGCTGTGCTTTTGCATCTTGCAGGGCAGTCAGGAGGTCCACACCCGCATCTGATGCTGAATGAAGCAAGGCTTTGGGTGTCCAACTTGGGTCCTGCCATGGCAAAACAGTCTGCAGCTGACTCAGTACTGAGTGTAGCTGTATCCAGTTTTCTTCATGTAACTAAAATATGCTGAGTTTAGGAACTTACTTTTTAAAGAAGTGGTAAAGGTCTGAGTTTCTTTCAGAGAGGGAAAAGCTTGCTGAGCAGTTGTCTTTCCTTTTGTTTTTTTACAGACAGTTTCCACTGTATAACAGTGACATCAGATGGCAGCAACCCAGCCCAAATCCTGCAGGACCATACCTTGCTTATCCTATAATATCTGCACAGCCACCTGTTTCTACAGAATATACTTATTATCAGCTGATGCCAGCACCATGTGCTCAGGTCATGGGTTTCTACCATCCCTTCCCTGCCCCCTATCCCACACCCTTTCAAACAGCAAGTGCTGTCAGTACAGTTACTACAGAGTGCACTGAGCGGCCCAGCCCCTCGGGCCAGGTCTTCCCATTGTCCAGTCAGCGGAGCAGGAGCAGTAACAGGGGACCAGCCATACAAAAAGTAAGTCTGCTTTTAATAGGATAAGTAGAACTATATAAAGAAAGTGTCTTTGCACAGGAAAATTGTATCTCATTTGAGCCAGAGCAGGTATGTCAGTAGTGGAAGAAAAATAGAGGGAAAGGTAGGCAGAAAAGGTGTTATTCAGAGAGCAGAAAAACTGTCTGCAGAGCTATTTTGTGGTAAAATATTTTGTGAGTTTATGAAGTGTGTAAGTATGACATGGGAGACTCCCATTGCCTCTCTGCTAGTGCAATCTGAGCTTAGAATTACTTCATTAGAGAACAGAGAATGTATACCCATTCTTTCTTTATCCTTTTTTGGTACTTTCACATCATAATGAACAGTTCATGTAATAAATAATGCAAAGAGGTTAATAAATTAAGTACTTTTATGAATATTTCCCTTAATCTCTTGTCTTCAAACATATGGCTTCTGTAGAGGGCATTAGAACTTCTAATTGCTTTGTTTGATTACAACTATGAAGTCAAATCATATGACTTTGTTTTGTGTGGCTAATATTTTCGAACAGCAACAGCAGTTACAGATGCACATAAAAAATAAACGTCCTCCAGTGAAAAATGTTGCCACTCAGAAGGAGACAAGTTCATCAGGTCCTGAGAACAGATCAAAGATTGTTTTGTTGGTTGATGCATCACAGCAAACAGGTAATTTGTTTCTTAAGTTCTGGGTGTACAAAATAAGTAGAACTACATGTCAGTTGCCATCTTTTCTAAAAGAGGGTGGACCTGGTTTAAACGTGGCTTTTAAGAGAAGTCTTTGCAGATCAAAAGGATAATGAAGACAAGATGCTGATGGTTGCAGATACCTACTCAATATGTCACCTTATAATGTTGTAATAATATGGTACTCCTGCAGAGACTTTGCCACGGTCAGAATCACTCTTCTTGAAGGAGTTGGTTATTATTATCAGTTGGACCTAGACATGATTTAAATTCAATGCTGGTTTAATTTTATTAAAAGACTTTGGCCTTTTCAATTTGTTTTTATGATGTATAGGTTTGTCGTGTCTTTTAACAATTCCTGCACAAGTAATTTTATTTTTTTTGTTTCTTGAAGACTTTCCTTCAGATATAGCTAATAAATCACTTTCTGAGAGCACCTCTACGATGCTTTGGAAATCAAAAGGCAGGCGCAGAAGAACTTCTCACCCTGCTGCAGAGTCCTCCAGTGAGCAGGGAGCAAGTGAAGCAGACATTGACAGTGACAGTGGCTATTGTAGTCCTAAGCATGGCAATAACCAGGCTGCAGCCATGGCTTCAAGAAACACAGATTCTTGTGCGATGAATGTATGTAAACATAACTGAGCAACTTCACTATATTTGTATCTGACAAATAAAAGTTACTAAAATAATTGTTTTTTTCTTTTTCAGGTTGTAGAACCATCAATAAATGCAAGTAAGCATTGTTTTAACTGGTGAGCTGTTTAAAATTTGGCTGGGTCATAATTGTGTTTTGGCTTTACATTTTGCTGGGAACCACCTCTTGATCTACTTCAACTTGCTGCTGTAACTGCTCAGATACTTCTGAAGATGTCTTTTTACTGTGATTTCCAACCACCTCCAACAAGACACCTGGTTCAATGAACAAGTGTGTAGCTATCACTGATGGTGATACAGCTGTCACTAATGGTCTATCAATAGCTGCCTTCTTTAACAGATTAAAGCTTGAGATTCCACTGGAAGCATTCAGAAAAAGCTGTGCTTCTGTTGTAGTTTATCCTCAAGCTTCCTTACCCTGTTGGGCTGCAGTTCATACCTGGGTAGTAATAGAGCCAAAGAGTTCTCATCCCCTATTTGAGAAGTACTGACAATTTTTAGGAGCTTTACAGAAGTACTGTACCATGAGCAAGTGTTTTGATCAGTCTGGTAGTAGTAGGTAATGCTAGTAGCTGCTATTTGTGACTGAACTGAGGTTGGTATGGATGTGAACCTGAGATTTCCTTTGTCTGATGCTTCCTGATGATCAGTAGTTGGCAGTTTCAGTGCTCCATGAAGGCAGTTCTGCCCATGTCTAAAAATAGCTACAGAAGTGAGTGTTGTCACAGGAGAATTAGACTTTCTCAGAGAATTCTGTATCAAAATTGTGTTCCTGGCTCTGGTGGCCTGTGTATCATTATGATATGTTCTGTTGTACTAGTCTAGTTTTTCATAGATGGCACTTCTCTTTCAGCTGGTGTAAGTTGGACTAATGTAAATTCCCAGGCAACTCAAAAAAAACCTTGGATTGAAAAAACTCAGACCTTTTCCAGAGGTGGAAGACAAGTTGAGCAAAGAAGCAATCCACAGGTATGTTGTCTATGGTTCTGAACTCAAGTCTTTTGGGGGGTTTTTTGAGACGTGAAAATACAGAATTTGAAAGGAATTATAAAATTTACATGCAAATAATATATAATAAAAAGAGTGAATGAAAAACATTGCATATATAAAGTAACTTGTGAAATTAAGACAGTGTGAGTGTAAAAAAGCTAGTTCAGTTTTTGACCCGTTCACACCTCAGAAGAAAAAAAAAATTCTCAAACTTTCTAAAGAAAGATTCTGATGTGATGGTGAATTAGAATCCTGTGTTCTTGCTCCTGTTGTCTTTGAAACTTTTGTTTATATTTACATTAGCATACCATATTTTGTGCATTTTTATTATTTCTTAATGATTTAAAATTATTTTATTCTGTGAAACTTCCTTCAAGTGGGACAGGATTTCTGTAATCAGTATGTAAGGAGAAGGTAGCCTTCCTAATTTTGATAGATTTTATTGGGGCAGTTAGTCCAGAGGGGGACAGAGAAACATCTGCCTTTGTTTGAACATAGTTTCTGCTGGAATTCAGATATTGCAGACAAGAACTGCCAAGCTTGAAGTGGGAGCTTCATCACAGATGTACCTGTATGTGCAGACATAGCTTGCCCTGTTTCGGTTTTTAGAAGAAACTGTTAAATTTTCTTGAGTCTTCCCATTTTGTGTCTACAGGTTTATTATACCCAGAAACCTGTGGATGCTCTTACCTGACCGTGTAGCAGTTCTCAATCTTTTTATAACCTGTAGTCAAATCAGAGGCTTTAGAAGCCACTATGGTTAGTTTGTGGCATTGGGAGAGTAGGAAGAACCAGACTTGCTTTTATCCAGTCACAGTTTAGATGCTGAATCTGGCAGTTATTTTAGATACTTAAAAACAAAGCTGGCATTTAAGCTTTGTTTTAAATGAGTTTTTAATGAGGCTACCCCAGCCAAATTCACTGTACCTCAAGGCAGAATTGTCCTAGAAAATATTTTCCTTTGAAACTAAATTGTTACCAGGTCTGTGGGAAATTTTCTTGCAAAATACATAAGTTTAAATGTGAAATTCAAGTCATGCATTGGTTTCAGCCAACCCATCTTGCACATGGGTTTCCACCAACCTGTCACATAATGAACAGAAGAATGTTCATACCACTGTACTGGTGTGTCTGGTCCTTGGAGAACTGTGTGCGTGTGCATTGTCATAGAAAACGTGTTGAAAAGGCAATAACTGTGTGCAGAATAATTATGTAGTGGGAGAAAGTTCTTTTGAGTGATCGTGGTTACAGACAGTTCCTCAGGATTCATTTCTGTTAAACAGTCACCAGCAATTCAGGGGTTTCTTCATGTTGAGCCAAAAGGAACCTTTTTTTTTTTTTTGAGTTAAAAATTTAGAGATGAAAATAGAGATACTGGTTTTGGCTTGAGGGGGAGGAATAACCTGATACTATCTGTAGAATGTTTGTGCAGGTTTGCAAAAAAAAAAAAAGGCAAACCACCAGAAAACCTCCACAAAAAAAAATTCAAAACACCAAAGCACAGCCTAGCAAATACAATTCCTTAAAAACTGTGCCTAGTTGGTGACTGACAGACATGAGAAAGCTTTCATGAGAGCTTTTTGTGTGTGCACACGCATCTTGAGAAATGGAAATTGCAAAATGCTGATCATGTTTGTTACTTTCAGTCTGGATTCAGATGCAGAGACCACAGCACGTCTTCAGAAAGGAGGCAGAGTTTGCAGAAACGACACGAAAAACCTCTCACTACAAGCCAGTCAGGCAGAGCAGAGCAGAGTCCTGAGCCTCTGTACTTCGAGGTACTGTTGTAGGAGAGCTGTTTCTGTGTTGCAGTGGTGCCAGTTGTGTGCAGAATAAATGATATTTTCAAGGGGAAGCTGCAAAACATCTGGCTCCAGGAGGTCCACAGCATAGAGCACTAATTTTAGATGATCCTTTCATCATGTACAGACAGACTTGTGTTCGGGTGTTGTGGGAAGTGTAAGAATTCAGAATATCTCTGATGGACAAATTAGATAAGCGACTTTCAAGTAACTTTTTCTGTTCACTTGTGAATAAAAATTAGTGTTCTCTGGTTTATCCCTCCTAAATGTAATTGGATTTTTTTCATGTTAAAAACTTACTAATTGTTCTTTCTTTGAAAAATGTTATTTGGATACAGAAATGCTTTTTTAATGTTTCATCATTTTCTACTTGTGTCACTTATAAGCCCTTCTAGCTTATGTGGGACTTTGGGATTCAGTTTGTTTTTCTACCTTAAACAGTTTCAGTTGATGCTTCTCAGGTGACTTTTGGTTCCATTTTTTTTTATTCTTAATTTCTCTGTTGTTTAGGATGAAGATGAATTTCCAGAGCTAAATAGTGACAATGGCAGCAGCAAAAGTAGTAACATCCAGCAAAAGATTTCACCCAAAGTAGTAAGCAATTATTTTGTTTTGCAAAGCATTTTGTTTTGAGACTATGTAATTTGTGTATTTTTTTTATAAATCTGCTACAACACTTAGAATGCAGTAATTGTGATGATTCTGGGGTATTTGCATTACCAGCCTTGAATGCTAAAGATATACCAGTTAAAATAAGTGGTGCAGGGAAAATGTCTTAAAAAAAGAACTACTGGATTTTTGTCTGAGATCACAGACTTAGATCATATCTATCCCAAGTTGGAAGGGACTGCTGCATCCTGATGCTTTGATGTAGACTTCTCTTAAAATTTTAAATCTGCAAATATGTAGTAATTTGGTGTCAATTTTTCAAAATAACTACAGACTGTGTAGTTTATTTCTATTTCAAAATAAACTACATCTACTTTAAGGCTGGGGAAGCAATTGTTGGGAAGATACTTTTTTAGTATGTGATCTACCTAAATATTTGGTTACAGAAGTGTGCATATAGACTGCTTAATCTATTTGGCTGCTTTCCAGGAAAGTCAAGTCCTATGTGAAAGCTTGGGGAGGGGAGGAGGAATTCTTTATTTAGCAATCAGAGTGGAAAACCTTCTGAAGCCGTAATTGGAGCTAAGTATAATAGTTTTCCAATACAAAAATAAAACTAGAAACTTATTTCCATTTCATTAACTTGCTGTGTCATCTAGGATGTCATACTAGTAATGAAAGCATTGGATGATTTGTTTTCTGGAGTGCCACATATCCTATGGTCTTGAGAGAAAGGCCTTTAACTGTGGTTTGTTTGCATTGTGTTTAAAATTCTAGTTGGATGACTTACCAGAGAATTCTCCAATCAATATAGTCCAAACTCCAATTCCCATTACAACCTCTGTACCAAAGCGTGCAAAAAGCCAGAAGAAGAAGGCCTTGGCAGCAGCACTTGCAACAGCTCAAGAGTATTCAGAGATAAGCATGGAACAGAAAAAACTTCAGGTGTGTAGGACCCTGAGCCCCCTGTAGTTGGGAAAGAGGAGTATCAGTCACCTGTTGCTCCTTGTTTCCCCAATAGCAATGATCCTTTGTAAAGAATGTTGCAGGCACTATTTCTTTGTATTTATTGGCATATAATGTTCCTGTTATAGGAGGCTTTATCAAAAGCAGCTGGAAAGAAGAGTAAGACCCCTGTCCAGTTGGATTTGGGTGACATGTTGGCAGCTCTTGAAAAGCAGCAGCAAGCAATGAAAGCTCGTCAGATCACCAACACCAGGCCCCTCTCATACACAGGTCTCTCTGATCTGCTTGACAGTTGCTACATGCATTTTTGTCAATATAAATTTGATTGATCTGGGCATCTTAAATGTTGGGGTTTTTTTCTGTCAAGTCTTAGTTTTTGAATACAAGCGTGATAAAAACCTGGAAAGTGTGGGGAGGTTTGATGCACTTCTCAATAAATTCACCTGTGCTATCTGCCTCTGAGCTGCAGTATGCAATGGTGAAAGGCCACATAGAACATAGGCCAAATGTCTCTTAAAAGACCTGCTCTTCAAAACTCAGGATTCATGCCTTGAGAGTAATTCAGTGCTGAAATAAATATATGAAAAGAACTGGCTTAGGTCAAACTAAATGTCTACTAAAGATAAGATATTAAAGTACTCTTTGAAAGCAGCTTAGAGAGGATACCTGTGACTATGATACATAGGGATGTCTCTCTAGGATATTCTTCCCATCTCTGCTGATTGTAGTTCTAGGCCTCCTGGCCCAAGGCTTTCTCAAACCAAATTTCCTTCTGAAGCTGTCCATAGTTTCTATCACATGCTTCTACCATCCATAATATCCAATGGCAGCCCATTCTAACCTTACTACATCCTGTGTGGAGAAACTCTTCTTTCTGCTCTGTTTTTTTTTTTTTTGTGGGGGGGTCGGTGTTGGTGGTTTTAGTACCCCAACCCATAATTTTTTTAGCTTTCCTAGCCTTTGTATTACAAAGACTGAGCAGTTACTCCCTGTTTTCCTCCTCTGTGATTCTTAGATGTTTGTCATCTCTGTTCTAGTCTGAAGAGTCCTGCTCTATTTAATTTAATTGTGGAAGCATCTTTTCTGAGAACTCATTGCTTTCTCTGTGCTTTTGTGTAGTTCTACTTTATCCTTTTAAAAATAAGGAAGATCGGACATACACAAATATTAAATTACAGTTCCATCATGAGTATATGCGATGGCTTAATCATGGGGTTTTTGTGCTATTTCTTCATCAATAAAACATTAAATCAGCTTTTTTAATGCTTGCTGACACATACAGAATTGACATTTTTGTAGTTATCTGTTATAACCCACCAGTCTCATTCCTGAGCACTTGTATGTAGCCTGGAGTCCATCGTTATGCACATAGTTACCATTTTCCTTCTGGTGTGTTGCTTCATTTACCTGCTTGAGTTTCAGCAGTGTTCAAACATTCATTCAAGTTGGCAAGGTTATATCAAACAAAACTCAGCAAAGAACTGTTGCCATTTCCATTGGAGACAGCATTTGTTTTATTCTCTTTCTGGCAGAAGATACACTTAACTACATGGTGCACTCCTTCATCTGTTTTGTCCTGTCAACTATTCAAGTCTTCAACAACTAAAAATCAGTGTTTGGATAAATGTTGGCAATTTATCTTATCATAATCATCTAACTAATAAAGCTACACGTAGTCACTTGAGAGAGATCCCTTACCATTTATTAAAATAATTCCTGGAATCCATAGCTTCCTAAAACACGAGGCTAAGTTGAAGAAATCTTAAAACCATCTGGAGGCAACAATATCTGATGATGTAATTTTCCTGTCATTATGAACTGCTTTTTTTCCAAGGAAGGAAAATGTACTTAGAGAATTCATCAGTGGAAATTCTGAAAACAGTGTTGAAATAAAACTGACATGTCTTTTGGTGAAACTAATATCTATCTTGTATTTAGTTGGCAGTGCTGCTCCCTTTCATACCAAAGAATCTGCCAACAGAAAGTCCTTAACAAAGGGACAGCCATCTATGGGTTGCCTTAATCCTTTGGATTCAACTGCCCCAAAAGTGAAAAGAGGAAAAGAGAGAGAGATTGCAAAACTGAAACGCCCTACAGCACTTAAAAAGGTAAATGTGTCAACCTTGGAGTGTTTTGACCCACACTCATGCCTTAAAAATAAAACCTGATATTTTCTTAACTGAGGCTTGGTTCCCATGAGTGTAGGGCAAGGGAGCTGTGAGCTTCTGCCTCTAGTTCCTGATAAACTGATGTCCTGTCCTTTGGATCTAGGCATGTAACATAACTTTTATACCCCCATAATTAGTTGAAGGTGTGATACAAATCCATCTCAATACAGATTGCAAGGGTTTTGTTTTTTTTTTTTTTTAACTATAAGCATTAGTTAACATGGGAAAACGTTTTTTTCATGTTGCTGATGCCTAGTCTGTAGTGCAATGTAGTATGTTAACCCTAATTTTTCCTACTCCTTTTTATAGAGGTGACTATAGAACTTGAAGTAAACCCACAATTTTTAATTGAGTAAATTTAGAAATAACTGCTTGCGTATATCTAGATACATGCACTTATAAAGTAGATATGTACAAAAGGAATAGAGTATGTATGGAAATCAGAAGGTAAAATAGAAAAAAGGGAGTCCTGAAAATGCAAGTGTGAAAGCCTTTTTCTGACTTGCCCATGATCTGAGTTAGAGGAATTCACACCTCCCTGTTCAGAAAAGTTTTCTAAACTCTTTGTGCTCAATGCCTTTGTTGCTATTAAACATCATAGTAATACCAGTATATCCATGACTACTTAGCTTTGCACTGCACTTTCTTTTGTAGAAAGGATTCTCCTTGAGAGAATCTTCACAAAGATGACTAGTATGGTTGCATAGGATATCTTTTTTTTCACAGGCATGGGGATGAGGAATTGTTAATAAGTGAGTATTATGTATCAGAAAGAAGCTGTGACAGTACTTTCAACAGCTGAAGTATTATTTATGTAGAAGTGTGTGAGTATTAACTGTACCATCTGTAAAATGCTGGAATGAAATACTCTTTGTAATCCAAGATGAAACTGAAATGATTTCAGGGGTTTCTGTCCTGGCATGACTAAGAAGGTTCGAAACAACTCACTTAAGCTGGTGTCATGTTCAGTCAAATGGACAGTTTTCTTTACAGGTATCTCTATAATTTTCAGATGCTGATGGCTGTTGGTTTTGTTCCTAGATTATTTTGAAAGAGAGGGAAGAGAAGAAGGGCCGTTTATCAGCTGACCACAGCCTTTTGGGTTCTGATGAACAGAAAGAGGCTCATATAAACCTGACTGCTGATCAGTCCCAGGAGCTGGCCTCTCAAGAAGGTTGGTCTCTTTATATCTCTAGACTCCCATTGTTCCCCCCAAGTTGTACTAATCTGCTTATTTTCATATTTTATCTTTCTCCTTTTATGGCACACAATTTATTGATGTTATCTTTTATAACTTTTTTTAACTTTATGAAATACTAACAGCCTTCTAAACGACCTTGTCTGCCTCTCAGTTGTGGAAGGCTTAGTACAATGTGAGTTCTCAGTACATAATCTCCATACAGCCTTTTAATTAACTTCCCAAGTGGGTGTTCCAAACACATGTCAGTTTATAGCATTTTTGATAAGTGAGCAAAATGTGACCTGTTGTCAACCATACCATGTTATCACAATGCTTTTTAGTGATGAGCATACTGAAAGTCTTCCAGATCTAAAAGTTGCAAACTGTAAATAAGGTTTTCCAGTTTGTTGAACAGGTTGTCAGTCAGCTGTGATGTCTGGACTGTCAATTTGCAGCAGCAGCTTTGAGCAACTGAGAAACTCCAAAGAATTTCCCATGTCTTTTAAACACATTTGGGGCAGTTGGGGGTAGGGGAAGGAGGTGGCTGTCAGGATTCCAGATGTACTTTTATAACTTTTCTTCTGAGTGACCTGCCTGACTTCACCTGACTGAAGTGGGAATATTCTAAATATTATAGGAAAAGTTAGTTGAATATTACTAAAGAATTATTGGAAGGAGTTTTGTAGCACTTAGACAGGTTTTTCCTTCTGCTTTATTAATTTCTCAAACTAAGCTTGAGGGTTTTTTTAATGAATATTCAAATATTGCTTATTTACCCAATCCATACTGGGTGGTGGGTGTGTGCTTATTTTCCCCCCTCTCAGCTCCTCCTCTGGGGAAGAAGGTTGAGTTTTCAAAATGTAGTTTGGATAAAGTGTAAGTGATACACAAGAAGTGTGATTCTGTTCCTTTTACGTAAAAAAAGGCATTTGTACTTTATAATGTTTCAAAATTGCCTTTCAGAAACTGGACTGAGTATGCCCAGTGATACTTCCCTGTCTCCAGCAAGTCAGAATTCTCCATACTGCATGACCCCAGTGTCCCAGGGGTCACCTGCTAGTTCTGGAATAGGCAGTCCAATGGCATCCTCTGCAATAACCAAGATTCACAGCAAGAGATTCAGAGAGTAAGAGTTTTGCATTTTTAATATAAATTCAGGGCTTGCACTTGAGTCACCCTTGTTTAAGTGTGGATAGACTTAGTAGACTTAAGAGCTTAATGAACATAAGCTTCCCTTTTAGAAATAGAAGGTTCTGCAAACATTTTTTTTCCCCTCTAAATAGATTGCTTGTGTATGTTTGTATACAAATGTGTATATATATGTACACACACTCACTTTAGACCTCCTTTGGTTGCCACAGCAAATAAGAAGGGGAGAGTATTCACTAAAAAATATTTTTTTTTAAAGGAAGACTGTGTGCTTTGGATGGGAAAGGAGGGAATACTTAGGAATGCTGAAAATACTGTAATAGTCACTCTTAATATATTACAACTTTATTTTTAATATCCTGATAAAGTACTAAATTAAGGAAAAGAATAGTGACTTGTGGCACTTACTGGAGTAGATGTTTTTATTTTTTATATTATTTTAGATTGGCTTCTTGAGGTAAGGGGTGTTACTAGAAATACGAATGTTTTCAGGATGTATTTTTAACTTACAGTTTGCAGCTTGATTTCTAAATCCTTTTAATGACTTTAAGAAAATTTTAATAACTGTTCTGAGGAAGTAAAATTATTTTATTTGAAAAAAGGTTTGAAACAGTTTTGGTTATGTGTCGTGCTAATATTTGTGAATTAGCTGTGCTGACATTTGTGAATGTTTTTGGCATTGACAGATACTGTAACCAAGTTTTAAGTAAAGAAATAGATGAGTGTGTGACTCTCTTACTGCAAGAGCTTGTCAGCTTCCAGGAACGGATTTACCAGAAGGATCCCATGAGAGCTAAAGCACGGAGAAGACTTGTTATGGGGTTGCGTGAGGTTACCAAGCACATGAAACTAAACAAGATCAAGTGTGTCATCATATCTCCCAACTGTGAAAAAATTCAGTCAAAAGGTATAAATGATAAACAAGTGGTGCACTTCAGCTGTTTGCAGTTGGCTTGTGCTGATTAGGAGTGTTAATTAGCAAGGTTAGACACATTTGTTACTACATGTGATGTAACACTTCCAGACTCCAATTGTGTAATTGCCATTCCACATTCATTCTTTTCTACTCTATTCTGGAAAAAACTCATTCATGAGGGGTGAAAAGCTTTAAGAAAAATAGATGCTATAGAATTGAAGTCTGCTGTGTGTGTCACTTGATTCAGTCTTGGACACACCTAGAGTGCTGAGCTCTGGATGCTGAAGAGGAATGTGAATTGGTTAGTGAGCCAACCAACACATCTTGCCACAACCAGAAATGTGAACAGAGGCTTCCTGAGATGGGAGAATAGCAATGCTCTGCTCAAGAAAAGACCAGTGAAATTCTGGTTTAATTTCTGTGCAAGACTAGTAGAGAATACAGAATATCACCTTTGTCTGTACTCTCTCCCTGTACTGGAAAGGTACCATGTGTTGTCCTCTGGGGCACAGGAGCTGCTGATGTGTGCATTGAAGTTCTACTGACTAATTACAGTTAAAGTGGGTTAGAGAGTTGTCACACCATAGGATGACTTTAACTGACTAGGTATCTGTTTAAAATTGGTTTCTTCAAGGTGGACTGGATGAGGCTCTGTATAATGTAATAGCCATGGCCCGGGAACAAGAGATTCCGTTTGTCTTTGCTCTCGGCCGCAAAGCCCTTGGCCGTTGTGTGAACAAGCTGGTCCCTGTCAGTGTTGTGGGCATCTTCAACTACTCAGGTGCTGAGGTGAGTAACTCCAATCACATAAACGTCTGGAGTAAATAATTATGTTCCTTGTACTAAAGAATTAGAGCACACCTAAATAAAATAAAATATTGATAATAGCTCTGACCTCATTAGGGTGTGTTTTTCTTTGAAATTCAGTTTTTATAGTACTGAAAGACTGTGCTTTTGGTCACAACATCTCTGTAGCTTTCAAATAGACTTAAATGTTGTCTAAAGTTCTCTGGAAGGCATAAGATACTGGTTTTTTTGTCATCTTAAAGTATGTCCATCTCCTCAAAGTTGAGTGAACATGGAGTGGTGGTTTTATTATTTAATACAGAGGAAAACTAACTTTTAGTTGAAGTTCAGGTATTTGGTGTTAATACTCTTGAGGCTCACTATCTGGTATACCTTTGACTAAAAAGAGTAATTTAAAGTGAACTGCCCTTTGTTCTTAGGACCTGTTTAATAAGCTGGTATCCCTGACTGAAGAGGCCAGGAAAGCCTACAGAGACATGGTGGCTGCAATGGAACAGGAACAGGCAGAAGAAGCCCTGAAGAATGTTAAGAAGGCACCACATCACATGGGTCATTCTCGTAACCCCTCTGCAGCAAGTGCTATCTCATTCTGTAGTGTTATTTCTGAACCCATATCTGAGGTGAATGAGAAAGAATATGGTAAGTATGTTAAAACTTACTTTTGTAACAAGAAGGTGGAGTTTTCCAAATGCTGTTTATTGTGAGATGTAGCTAAAAATGCAATATTTCCTACTAATTTACAGTATTATACAATTTTCAGGAATGAGAGAAAACTGGTTAGTCTTCAGTTAGCTTCATAAGTAATTTTTTTCTCTGAACTATACAGAAAATAATTTTAATTTCTAATCCTCAGAAGTGTTGTAGCCATCTAACTCACATCAGTGGAGGTGGCTTCTCCAGTTTTACTGAACAGTTATAAAACTGGTACCAAACACAGAATTGATTTTATGATTGAGGAAGAACTAAGGACAGAGTAGGAACTAAATTTCTGAGGTCTCTGAAGACAGGACATGTAGTTTAAATTTTTAAACTTGAGATGGTGGTGAATGTTTCTAGTGTGAGCAAAAGGCATGTTCATTAATTGGTTGCTTAAGACCAGGTGATAGGGAAAATAAAAGGAAGAATACTTGTTTGAAGTCAAAAGACTACTCTTTTTTTTAGTCTGAGAGTAAATTAAAGAGACTACTATCTTCTTAGTGAATTTTTTTTATATCTTAAATTCATTTCAGGTGTTGAACATTTTTAAGTAATCCTTAAATGGATGACTTAATATGGTGGCAATTTTCTGCTTTTAATTTGTACTTGAGAGTAACCTCTGACTACACTCACTGTTACATTTAGAGTTGCCACAGTTTACACAGGAAACTGAGTGGCACAAATTTTCAACTTTGTAATGTTTGGTCTAGGGCACTGTAAAAATCCAAAGTTATTCACCACTCTTTCTGTAGTCTCTTCTCTTACCTCCTTTCTCTTTTTTCTGATGGAAATTTTTCTAGCAAGCCTAGAACAATATTAAAATTATTAGCTCCCATTGCTATTTAAACAATGGAATGCTCAGGAGAAATACTTTTATATACAAGGAATTAATGTTTCATACTTAAACTTCTTTTGAAACTTTTAGAAACAAACTGGAGAAATATGGTGGAAACATCTGATGGGTTAGAGACCTCTGAAAATGAGAGAGAATCCTCGTGCAAGACTGCAGCACCAGAAAAAGCTGGTAATGGTCCAGTGGAAAAAGCCACTCTTAATAAACAACCACCTCTGGCTACAACTGGCACTACCTCAGCAACAAATCATGGAAAATCCACACCAGGTGACAAAGATGAGGTGAAACCAGATGACAATCTGGAATGGGCCTCACAGCAGAGCACAGAAACAGGATCACTGGATGGCAGCTGCCGGGATCTCTTGAATTCCTCCATGACTAGTACCACCAGTACTCTTGTACCAGGAATGCTGGAAGAGGAGGAGGAGGAAGAAGATGAGGATGATGAGGATTATGCCCACGAACCAATTTCTGTAGAGGTTCAGCTCAACAGCAGAATTGAATCTTGGGTTTCAGAGACCCAGAGAACTATGGAGACGCTTCAGCTCGGGAAGACCCTGAGTGGTGCTGAAGAAGACAATGGAGAACAAAGTGAAGAGGAAGAAATAGAGACTTCTGAGCAGGCTGATCCTGGCACTGATGGGGAGGAATGGACAAATGATAAGCACGCAAGTAACACTCAACATAAACCCACCATCTGCAGTTCTTTGAACAAAGAACACACAGATTCCATCTACATGCCGTAAAAATAAGCAGGAACTCAGGAACTTTTTAGAAGTTACATTAAAACTAACCGTTGTAAAGGTTGCAGCCATTATTTCATATGCTTCATCTCAACATTTTGCACTGTTAAAACATTTAATACGTGTATTTAATTCACAACAATATTTTTGTAGCTGTCTGTTACTTGTTTGATTTCAAAACTAGCTTAGCTCTTAATCAGTATCGATTTCCCAGATTAGAAGCTGTGTGGAAAATTTGTAAGTATTCATTTGATCTTTTTTAAAAGAAAAAAATCTTGTAACTAACCAGCTTTAAGCAAAATTTTTTATTTAGCTTGTTTTCAAACAGATAAGGTACATTAACACTGACAAAGTACCAACGAGTCACATTGGGGGTGTGGTGTTAATGCCAGGCCTATCAGTGTATTTGGCTATGAGTTTCTGGTCCTATCTAGAAATAAAATTCAGCTTCTCTTTCAAGAAAAGCTAGAAAAAGCCATTTGCAGTCCTAATGAGAATTAAATACTAGAGAAATTGTGTGTGATTCTTCTGCTAAGATAGATGCAGCTTTTTAGTTGATCTTGGTGAATGCATCGTTAAAAAGATGCTGATGGCTGAGATGGCTACAATAGGCTATAACAACTTTGATTCCAGAAAAAACTTTCAACTAGAGGGATATAATTAATGTTATGCAGTTTTTTTACAAGGTGGAAATACTGCATTTAAAAAAAACAGGAAAGAAAACAACAATTCCCCATTCTCTCAGCAGTTGCTGTCTGCCAAACCACACGAAGTGACTCATTAACCATAATCCCTATCCAGGGCTTTTAGTAAACTGATGACTTCCTCTCTCTCCTGTCACTTACCTCAGGAATGCTGTTTTGCATATTATATTCTGCATAACATTGCAAAAAGCAAGAATAATCCTTTTAACTGCAAGTGTGAATGATTGGTGGCTCGGGGTATCTATGCATTCCCCTGCATGCCGTGACCCTGGCCAGGATGTATCTTAAAAATTCTTGCTGAAAGTGTGGCCTCTTTGTCTGTTCTTGCTGTTGTAGCAGTTGACCTCTGGAGTAGAAAAGGAAGTAGTTATTCTAGGAAAGGAGGAAGTGCCCTGTAGTATGGGGAGGTATTTCAGTGGTTTAGAGGTAAGAGACAAAAATATGCCCTCTTTGAAACATACCTGTTGCTAGAGAATTGTTCTGTGTTTTGTTTCTAATACTGAAGGGAAATGCATTAACTGATGAATTCATTTCAGATTGAGGATGGAGTGTGTCTAAACCTTGCATATCAGGAGTCTGTTTTCCATCTTTGTCTGGTATTGGCGAGGGATGTACTGAAACTGCCAGCAGCAGGAGCTTCACTGCAAGAGCAGCCAGAGAGTTACTCACACCAACAACACTGTCTTAGCAAACATATGTTTCTTTTAATTCCACTTCATTTTTCTTTGTCACTTGTATCAAAATGCATGAAAGGTAGGCTGAAAACCACAGGAAATGGATATCTGAGTTAGGTGTTTAGGCCTCACTTAGGAACATGGGACCAACGTTCATAGCACTAGTTATGCTGGCCTTTTAAGTTGCACTGGGAAAATAAGACTCCAGGTTTAGAAGTCATCCAGCCCTGGGTTTTTTGGATGAGAATAATAGAAACTGTGTATTATGTAAATAATGCTTTGATAGCTATAGGCATAGCAAATGCTATGTAGATAAGCAGTGTAGAGCTGCTAGGACAACTGGCTGTTCTGTCAACGTTCTTAGTTCCTAAATGTAATCTTCCTAGATGTTAAACAGGTGTTTCATAGGAAAACAAAGACTAAGGAATGATGCCTCTTGAATGTTAAACCTTTTACTTGTCTGTATGACAGACTTCTACTGTCTGTAAGTTTTGAGAGTTTTTGCTTTAGGACATGACAGGTGTTTGAACTGCTGACGAGCAAAACTCGCCCTTGGATGTGTAGGCACAGCTCGGCACAGGTGAGATCAGTGCATACACTGAGGGCAAAACTTTGCCACAACATCAAAAAACAAAGGTGTTTGTAGTTTCTCCTTTTGCTTTTTCAGTGCCAGTGATTCAAATAACTTTTGATCTTGAAGTATTAACATCAAAGGCGCATCTTTTTATATGTCTTTTCTGAACTTGGACTGTCATTTTAAAGTTTTCTGACATTTATATCAAAGAAGTCTTGTAATATTGAGCCCGCTATTTAACTGCAATTTTGCTACAGGTTTAATAGAGTTCTTGGAGGTGATACAGCACTTATAATATCTCTCAATTTGCCAGCAAATAAGGAACCAGTCTCTTTTTAAAATGTGGCAGATCACCCTGAGGGGAGCAAACTGAAACTAAGTAAAGGAAACTGGGTTTAGTGCTTCCTTTTTGATAAGCTGGGAATGAGCAATAACTGTGAGAATGAAATTGCAGTTCCTTTGGGAGTGATCCATTTGCATCTGAAATTAGGGAAGTTCCTTGCTACTTGAAGCACTTGAGGAGAGTATCTCACTGTGGTAATTTTGATTCTATTATCAACAGAATTTAAAAAGAAAGCATACAGATGTTTTACAATACCAAGATTTTTTTTTAAAAGTAGCTGAACTTCTATTTCAGTATAAAAGTGTGCAGTTTATACAGGTTGTTACTGTCCCCATGAAAAGATGTTTCTGTAGTTATAGGTGTATAGATATTTTTGTTGTGAAAATGATTATTCGGGAAACAAATCTAATTTTCTTAAGGCATTGTTTATAGATTCACCACTTTATCTGGTAAAATAAAAAAATGTATCTGTGGTAGGGGTAGAAATCTTTTAAACTGATAGAGGTGGCTATGTATACAACCTATTTATATAAATATTCTTAAGTATCTCTGTCAATAATAAAACATGGATTTCAAATATGTAAAAGGGAAAAATTCTAAAGAACTTCTGTCCTTAGTTGGACCAAGTAGCAGCATCTTAGTAAGGTTAAGGCCTTGATCCTTCTAACACATGCTTCAGAGTGTTAGTGCCACTGGCTTGAGCTGTGGCCTGTTGATCTGCTTAAGTTGTGTGCAGGTTGTTGTAGGATTGGAACTAAACAGTGACAGAGGGTATTGACCTGTGTTTTAAAAACTCATTATAGAAAATGTTCAGTAATGCACTTGTTAGTGTTCTTCTGGTAAAGATAGGAGGTGTCTTTATGCTCATTTGGGTGGGTGGGAGCTTACACAATGTGGTTCTGTCGAGTTCTTTAACACAAAGTTAAATTTTAATAATGTTACTTTAAATATGTATGTAAAAAGAGTATTATTGTTTGAAAAGCTGCTGTTTGCTGAAACTGTCATTAAGTATTTCCTGTGAAGTTGTGCCAACTAATAAAACCATCTATTGAGTTGATTTCAATGTCAGCCATTTAAAAATTAGACATGGCAATTTAACAGAACAAAAGCAAGCCATAGAAACCAGGACTGGGGGGTTTCTACTCCCCCTGCCACACACAGAATGTCTGACCCAAAACTTCCTCGCCAATGAATGGTAATGCTGAAAGTAGAAACCCAGTTGGCACAGCCCACCTTCTAAATGTTCATAATAGTTCATATAATTTACTTTTTAAATAGATTGTAATAAGAAAAGCTGTTTAATCTTAATGTCTTAAAATTTATAGTAATATTTAGGTTAAAGCAGTAGAAAAATCATTATAAAATACAATATGAAGGGTTTTGTTCCATTTCTCTTTTGCTGTATGAAGGATAACTGTTCTGTCTACCATACTTTTTGGAGTAATAACAGCTTTTTTGCACTATGTAAATACTAGTGGGGGATCCTTCCATAACTAATAAAAATGATTGTAGAAATTTATGGCTTTATTTGCTGTCATGTTTGTTTGGAAGCGCTGCCCTGGCACTGCAGGTGCTGGGAAGGGTCCGTGTCACTCTGTCTGTGGCCACAGGGTGGAGGAGCCGTGTGCTGGCTCCACCTCTGGCTGTGGCACCTCCGGTCACCGGCAGGGAATGGGCACTGGAAGAGGGGCTGAAGCAAAAAGCAGGATTAGCAGAGGATTTTTCACAGGAATCCCGTGTCCCTGTTGTCACACACTATCTCGGTGATGACCAGAAAAATACATAGAAGAACCTACCCTTCTTCAGAGACCATGGGAGTGAACCAGGTCCAGAATATTGACTTGGAAGTACCATTTTACTTAAGAGGAAATGAGCAAGAATAAGCACAGGTACCTCCAAGAGCTGGGGTTTCTCACATGCTGCTACTGGATGAGAATTTCTGGTGACCTGCCCTTATTGATGGAGTGATGCATGAAGTCACCCCTGGAAAATAACACCAAGTTCTCAGCATGTTGTGCCCTATTTCTCTAGTAACTGCTCACATTTCTGTGGCTCTGGTAACAGTGTCATTAAATGGTTTTGCAACTCCCACGTGTGAAGGTATTTGTAGCAACTCAGAAGGGATACAGCTTCATCCTGTAATTCTGAATTTTCTATTTATGTGCCTTAACTTCATGTTTCAGTTCTGTTATTGCAGTTGTCTCCTGGTGAAAGTGCTGCTGTTATTAACCTCACTTTTTAGGTGCTGTGACTTACTGTGAGAATTACTCCTCACATCTGGGTCCTGCATCTGCCTTCTCAATCTGATACAATTTTTGGAAGCACAAAAAAGTGAGTGGCACAGTGTGACTTGTGCTATGGAAATGACAAAATTAGTTACCCCAAAGCCTTACAAACTGAATTTTCTTTCTCCCTCTTCATTTCTTCACTATTTAAAAAACATTAACCTTGAGCAAAGTTCTTTGCCTCTATTGAGAAGGTTTTAAATGTTTTGTGTTCCTGCACACACAGAAGAAGTGGCAAAAGAAAAAACTAAATTTCCTCCAAGAAGCACAACCACTGCCTGTGCTCTGAGAGCAGCCTGGGCTCTCCCACTATGGGATTATAGGGATATGGCTGGAAGCTTATCAATGTGTGTCTGTAGTGTGCAGAAAGACCACAGTCAGTCAAACTGCATTCTGCAATAACAGTTACTTTTTTGGATTTTTAGGATCACTGTGTGTAAAAGCTAGGGCTTTTTTAAAAAAAATAGGTGGTGGTGGTTGTTGTTGTTGTTTGTTATTGTGGGTTTCTTTAAAGCACTATTGGACAGAAACAACAACCCCCTAAGGAGATGATGCAGCTGAAGACTGTTCAGCTTTTGGGGTCTTTTCTGAGTTAGCAGGTACAGGGAAACCTAAGGTAGGAAGGTACTTCTTGGCAGCAGCTCCAGTGTACTCAGAGCTGTAAATTCCAGTTTAATTCTGGAGCCGTTGAATTCCCTGGCACCTGGTGAGCTCCCGCGGGAGGGGATGTGTGGGTGGGTGCATGTCTGTCTGGGCACTGCTGAGAACGGCCAGCTATGGCCTGTGTTGTTTTCCAGGGATAGGGCTTTAATGAGTAAAGAGGAATTTAATAATCGTGTAACGCCGATAACAGACTTGTTCTTACTGCAGGGAAATGGGGGAGGAAGCACGGAGTGAACCGCGGGTCCCACAGAGACCTGGGCGGAGCTATTTGTGCTTGGGCCCCTCTGGAGGCTGCGGCAGCACAGACCCCTCCAGAAGTGCAGTCTGTGTTTGGAGGGAAAGTTAATGTGTATCCACACCAAATTTAAAACAACCTTGTGCTCCTTCTGCCTCTATAGCAGGTAGCTCATTTCTTGCAGAGTTATAGAACAACAATAAATGTTGGTGCTCAAAACTTGTGGGGGTTTATACAGTTTCCAAAGAAACTGTAATAAAAGTCCTCCTGTTGGGTGGCATCTCTTGGAAGGGAGACTTTTTTTTTTCTTGGGGGGATGAAAAAAACACACTAACCATACATTATTTAGATCATTAAACTCCTTATAATGCCTTTCCTGCAAGGGAAGGCTGCATTTTTCAGGTGGATTCTGCCCCTGGGGGTACTATTTCAAGCTCCTGGGATTTTGTTAGCTGCAGCTGAGATGGTAAGTGCCCCTTCTGCCAGCAGTAGTCTCAAGGTATAGGTAAGCACTGGAGAGGTGAGGGTGTTTGGCAAGAAAAGCTGTGAGTAGCAAGAACTGGAAGAAGCTCTTGTAAAGCCTTCCTTGTGGAGGAATGCTGACTGTACAGGAAGAGAACAAATTAACAAGTAACAGTAGTTGGAAATGCCCCCATATCAAAGTTTCCTTTCTGATTTGTTTCCAAGTTAAAGGCAACCAAGGACGGAAGCGGGAGATGCACACCTAAGGAGACACGGGGAGAAGTTCAACCCTGTTTGTGGGATTTATTGTTTTCAAATATGTGCTAGTGGAATGCCCTACAAAAACACAACATTAAGCTGAATTGAAGGAAGGATGTTCCCTGCCTGTTACCACATGGATACCAAGCCCCGTGATGCCACTAAAGCATGACTGCTTCCACCTTCCTTTGGAGGTGACAGTAGTTTAGTGTTGCTGTTGCTGAAACTTGTCTCAGGTGGTGGCTAATTCTGCAGGGATGAAGCTTTAGGCTGAAATTTGTCTTTGTCTCCTGATATGGGGCTGTGCTTAAAGCTGGAGCCAGGCAATAGACACTTAATCTGCTGTGGCTTTCAACACTTTGCGGAACAAGAGGCAGTGAGTGATGCTGTGTTTTGCTCATGGGCTCTTGGCCTCCTTGCAGGCAGTGCTGAGCCAGGCCAGCAATGCTGCTGAATCCATCTTTGGGCTCTTAGGATGCAGATCTCCTTTCAGAAAGCAGTGGTTAGGGCAGCATGCTGTTCTCTGATGGCTTGCAGCTCCAGTGTTTTCAGTATGTCCTTGTTGAACCTGCAGAGGTTGGCACCATCCCCCTCACAGGTGGGACAGCTGTGGCACGGGAGCCCCACACTGTGCTCTCTTTCAGTGTTCAGCTCTCGCTGCTTTGTCTTTGATGGCTGCTTTCCCTCAGAGGTGCAAGGACTGGCTCTGGGCTGGTTCTTGGGCAACCTTCAGGCTCTGAATTTTGGGCTCTTGCAAAGGACTCTCCAGCTTGTTTCTTTTCCCCTGTGCTACGGGACTGTCCTGATGGAAAAGGCAAAACCCAGCAGTGCTTGAAGGAGGGAGTGGTGGTCTTGCCAGGCAAAGAAGAGCTGAAAAGGGAGGTCATGGAGCACAACCAGCTAAGCCCTCTCGCACACCAGGCTCTTTCCTCCCGCTCCTGCTCAGCCACAAGGATGTGCTCTTTGCCCAGGTGGAACAGCCCTGTCTCCTGCTGCCTTGTCCCGGTGCAGTGCTGCGGTCACGGAGCTGCGGTTTTGGACAGAGCAATGTTGCTGTAAGTGGTTAAACTGGGCTGGTTAAACAGCACGGTACCCAAGAAGGGAAATTGCAACTTGACTTTCAGTCACCCTAGGACATGTTTTCTGGGATTAGCACTTCAGAGTTAGAGTAGGAGAAAAGCAGTGATAGTCTAATCTCTGACTCTGCTTTTGTATCCAGCCTTTGTTCTCCTCAAACCCATTACCTTTGATCTCTGTTTTCAGCCCAAGCAAACTCTGACTCTCCTGAAAAGTAGGAGGGGCTGCAGTTATCAAATACATCTGGTTTTACCTCCTTCAGAACAAGGGCTAGGAGGTAAAACAGTGAGACATGCAATATGTGGGAAAATAACTTTCAATTGAAATAATACAGTTTCTGTGCATGACTTTCACTAGCTAAAATAAGCTGCTCCAGGGCTTCCCAGAGGTACCTGCCAGCACGTTGCTGGTTTCTGGATTTTCCTGCCGTTCTGCAACACTTTGCTGATTTCTGCCAGTGTCAGCCAGGCATGTCAATGAGGAAGGAAGGCGGACCAGCTCTGTGTACCTCAGCGTGAGTTAACTCTGCTGTTGCTATTTATACAGGGGAAAAAATCCCCTGTTCATTCTGTATTCTAACAGAAAGGCTGAGTTGCAAGCAGCACAAAACAGCTTCCTCTGGGTTGCTGTGAGCCTGCACCTACTTTTCAGGTGTGCTCTGCACGGGGGCGGCAGCTCCTCTCCCCGTGCTGCCCCCACGCTCCCGGTGTGGGGCTGACGAGCTGCTGCTCTCCATTAAATTGGTCCCCAATTCGCCTTGAGCTCTCCTGTCACCAGGCATGTGCACCTGTCCTGGCCCCTGCCCTTCCCTGGCCCCGGTGCTGCACACAGAGGGTGGGGTGGTGGCATTAATTGCCTGCTGGAGCTGTGATCCCACAGCCCCAGATCTGAAATGGTGTTGTTCTCAAGGGTGCCTGGCACTGCTGCTTCCTGCCACCAAGGCTGCCAGTGGTGATGCTGGAGGTGTGGCTGCTGCCATCTCTCCTCCTTCTCTGCAGCTCTTTTAGAGGAGTGTTGGAAGTGGCTGTAGCTGGTTAACTGCTCCTGCTCCTGTGGAATGGTACTGCCCCATCAATGTGGTTGCACCTGCCAAAACTCCTGTCCCCTGTGACCATAAGTGATTGGGGGCTGCTTCTATCAGCTTTTTATACAGCATATTTGAGGCTGAAAGGCTGTTTGGGGCAGTAAACAGGGTGTGATGGAAGGTTTGGGTGTGATGGGTCCAGTAACAGCGATTGAGGGAGGTTTCAGCTCATAACCGTGCACCAGAAGGGCATTCCCATGTACCTGAGAAAACATACACCATCACGTGTCAACAGGCATGGTAGGGGCAAAGTGACTTTTCCCTGTGTCTTGCTGAGGCAGCAGCAGGTGGGTGGGTGGAGCTGGGGCAGCTCCCTGGGCCCTGAGTACTGTGGGCAACCAGGAACTTGAGCTGTGAGCAAGAAACACAGGCTCCTTTTAGGCAGCATAGAAGGCTGTGGGCTCAGTTTCACCAGTGCTTAAAGGAGCTTTGTTCTCCGTGCTGGTCAGAGGGCT